TCGTCTTCGGTTTTAAATGCTAAGTTTGTTCCTAGTGCTTCCCGATTTGCAGGTTTTTACAGAAAGTCGTTCCCGTTTGCAGGTTTTTACAGAAAGTCGTTCCCCGTTATCTACTGATTAAATCAGCGCATCTGGCCACCCTACTGTCAGCCAAAAAAGCATGCTTACAATTACATGAAAAAAAATATGCTTAGCTTCGCCTTGTTTAAATGTTAGTACAATCTTACTTAGCTTTTAAGACTATCGTAAAAGAATTAAGCAAATTGTATCAAATAGCCGTGAAAAGATATTGTTCTATAAGTAGTTTAAAAGGTAACTTATTCTGAGCTGGAATCGGCATTTGCAATATATGTAAATACATAGCTAAATACATATCTGTGGACTTTTGACAAACCAACCACTGTGCTTTCTTTAGGTTGGAATTTAGAATAAATTATAAGGAACTTCTACTATTAATAGCTAAACATAAAAATATCATTCGAGAACTCAATGAATTACTGCTTTGAAGAGAAAATGACCTCACTCGAGAGAAGTTGTGTTCTCAAAAGTCCACAGATATGTAGCTGCAATGAAGAAAGATAAAAGAGAGTTTCAATCAAATAAAAAAGACACACTTCGCGATTAGCTTCAAATTTATGAAATAAATTAACATAAAATGCCTTTTAATTGGAAAAAAATCAGCTAATGAGACGTTGGAAGACTACTGCGTTTACTGTGGAGGATCATTATTGGGACATTTCGTTATTGGCGCAATTTCACGACTATAATCTTATATTCGTTACTCCACGCCTATTCCTAGACATTCGCTTTTAATTACAATAAATACTCGCTTCCTCTTTGATATAGAATTATGTATGTATGCAAGTGCGCGTACACTGAGAAAAAGGATTAGTTTCGACAACTAAAGATATTTAGTTCCCGAATTTTGACAATATTTGGGAACTGTTACCAAGGATTGGGAACTATTACCATGGGTTGGTTATTGTAACTAAATATATTAAAGCTTCTAATATTTATATAGGTTGTACCAAATCGTTAATTTAGTTGAAGGGTTTGGTAAATACTAATAAATATTTCTTTGAAGCATATTTCTACAAATTCCATTCAACTTAACGTATGGTTCCTAAAAGGATGTTATTAAGGTCGGCTGACGCAGATAAGCTCTCTTTCAACACATGGTTTAGTCATAGTTACCAAATCTTAGTTGAGGCAACTTATTAGGCATATTCATGCTTGCGACGCACCCCTAAAAGCTCAGTTAGTCTAGACCTAACTTAATTTAACTTACCGTAAGAAATCATCAATGATTAGTCAACACATTAACTTAAGCCAAGAGCGGAAATGTTTTGTTTTTGTATTTTCTGTTTAACAAGTTCGCCGCCTTAAATTCCACATCAAAAAAAATCATGCAAACAAAAATGTTTGCTTTCATTTATTTTTAAGAAATACAAAAACGAGATTCTGGCAAGCCTGATTCTCTCACCGCTCTCTATTTCCGTAAGGCCGTAACTTAGAAACCTAAAATCTACAGGTTCTTAAGTTTCTTACGGTAAGTTAAGTTTCAACTAACCGCCAACACAGTTTCTCATATAACAGGTTGGCAAAAATATTAAGTTAAGTTACGGAAATTAAGTCTAGACTAACTGAGCTTTAGAGAATGCTGAGCTCTCTCTGAGCACATGTGTGTTTCACATACGAAGAGCGCCAGCTGAGCAATGCACCCAGCAGTGTTGCCAGATTATAGGCGAGCCTATTCCCTTTTTGTCCATGCAATTCTATATATTTTTTCCGTTTTTCATTTTTGGTTTTCCCGTTTTCCCCCTTTTTATATAACCCAGATTTTAAAAATGCCAAATCAATTTTTCTCTGTGTTTAATTTTTTATACGATCAATAACCATATTTTAACAACTCTTCAATAACAAAAACAATTCAATTTACATGTAATATTATTAATATAAAAATATTACTTTAAAACATATATGGCATATACTTATGCAATTGTGATGCAATATTTGGATCACTGAACACTCGGGCATCTGCTTCAAATCGTACGATTTGAAATCGATGCGATTTGCAAAATATTTTTTAATATAATTAATGCAAGTAATAAATGCAATATTGTGCCCCGCAAACGCACATAGCTTTATCTCTGCATTTTTAGCTTGATGTGCTACCGAACCATTAGTGAACTGCGAAATTTTTAGCTGGCAATTAGTTATCACGAATTGACTTATATTTTTCCACAGGCTTTTGCGTTTTTGCATGTTTTTGCAATCAAGATTTCTTAGGAAGAAGGCTTACTGCACATATTGTTCAGTACGCTCCAATTCCATACAGCTTTCCCATGAATGTTTCGCACACTATTTTAGCCTAATAGTATTATTGTAATATTTATGGGCACGGCGTATGTGATTTTCCCCGTTTTCCACGACCATTATTCCCGTCATCCCTTTTTTGTTCAAAATTCCTGCAAAACGAGAAAATTTCTCTTCTGGCAACGCTGGCACCCAGTTCCACTTATTGAATTGTTTAAATGTGCTAGTATGCCGAGTCGGCACAGTGTTACCGTTGTGCGAATAAAGTGTCATATTGACACTTTTTGGAGATCGATGCCCCTTGACACCGACTTTTTAAAAATAGGCTTATTTTGATACCTTTCCAAAAAATCAGGCGACTTTTGCGCCTTTTCTTTGATTTAAAATTCTATATACACATTTCGACAATTCCTTCATAAATTATATTTTTCTTAGGTGTTTAAGAATGCTTTTATTACTTACTTTTTAAAGGCACTTAAAAATTACACTTCTGGCCAGATTTTGACTGAGTTCAACCTTTTTATTATGTCAAATATTTTCCGAATAATTGTCCAGAAGTAGCATGAATTAATGCACCGTTTTTGTAGCTTAGCATTTCCCCTAACTTGTTTGTGTTAAATTTATTATTTATTTAATGATGTAAGTCCTTTTTTTAACTGCAATTTTATTTTCATACTAAATTCAAATTATGCATATTACGTCATTTTAATATATTCCTCATCAATAGGTTATTATTTTAAGAGAAAAAACTATTTTTGACAGAAAATGATGATGTCCCTTAACAATTTATTAAAAATAATGGGGCATAGTCATAGATGAAATAAAGTCTACTCTAAGCAGCTTTTTTGGCAGATTTTCTGTTGAAAAAATCATTGCTTCGCTACCGCGTATATGGGCAGTATTGCCGTTTTGTTACTTTTAACCAAGTTTGGTTATTTTTTTCTTGCCTGTGAAGTTGTTAAGATCTTTCCCGTTTTGGTTATTTTTTAATATTTACTGTAGTTTTTAATTGACATAGAGGTGCTTATTTTGGTCTAAACTGCGCTTTTTTGACCTGAGTTGCATTAAATAGTCTTTTAAAACTTGGTAGTATTTGTTGTTCAAATGGTAACACATATGCCCAAAAACTTGAAAAATGTTAGATGATTGCTTTTTCAAAATGCTATTTATAAAATTTGGTTTTGATTGCGACATTAGAAATATTCAGATTATAAAAGTTTTTCACATATGTTTTGAGATTTTAAAGCTTTTAAAAAGTACGGTAGAATGCAACAATGTGCTTGAATTTGTTTGCTTCTTCGTCAGCTTATTCGTTTGTAGACTAGAAAAATGGCGAACAGCCATCAAAATACTGATTCAAAATACACATCTTTCACTGGACACACAAATGGGTGCGCGTAGCAAAATTCAGCCCTAATGGTAAGTTAATTTCATCGTGCGGCGACAAGTTAAGAATTTGCGATACATTTTCAGGCGAATGTATGCGAACGTTCACCGGGGGAAGAGGTATGGGACGACAGCTGGCATGGCATCCAGACGGCAATCTGGTGGCTTTAGCATTAAGTTGTAACCGCGTTAAGATATTTGACAAAGCTGAAGGCGAGCTAATACAGTGCATTCGTCGCCGGAGAATGATGTTGCATTCACCCAAGTGGAAATTTCTTGGTGACTGGCGGCGAACACGATACAATAAGATTGCTTGATTTATTAGAAGGTCGGCCAATTTATACACGGTAGTAGTGAACTTTAGTGGAACCATATAATATAAATTTTTTCCTGTATTCAACAGTTGCTCGCAACAAACAAGCCAGTTCTCAAAGAGCCCAAATTGATTTTAGTCATGCAACAGCTCCACATAACTCCGCCATAGACACACCAGTTGCTGGAGTACCAAAAAGCTGTGATGACAGTATTTTAATTGATCCACGACAATCGGTGGCATATGGAATGCGTGATGGAAATTTTCTGGTGCTTGATAGCCAATATGGCAGGGTGCAATAGCGCCTTGTGAAATAAAGCCTTTAAGGCCTTATTACACTATTGAAAGTGAAATAAGGCCTTTATTTCAAAAAAGGCTTTATTACACTTCGAAAGAGAAATAAAGCCTTAAAGGCCTTATTGCCCTTTCATTTTTTTTTAATGAATCAATAATATTCTAATTCTTTTTGTATTTTATTGAATAGTTACACACAGATTTCACGTTAAGCAAAGTTAATAGAACATAAATAATTCAGAAAAAGAATTTCATATTAACAAAAATTAATAGAACATTAATAATTCAACAAAAAATTTTCATATTAAGAAAAATTAATGGAATATTAATAATTCAAAAAAAGAACCCCAAATCAAAATAAACGAAAGAAAATTAGACAAAAATGTGTTTGGCTTCTTGAACAATGGTCCGACACACTGGACATAAAGTTGACACAGAATTCCTTTTTTTTTCCGCGTCCAATTTTTCATAACAATCACTGCAAATCTTAAAATGACTACATGGCAATAACAATATATTTCTTTGTTTTTCATAACAAATAATGCATGTCAAAGTATTTTCAATGGTGCAAGGCAGGACAGATGGTAAGGTATCAATTATTGGATCAACCTCATCATTCTCAACACCTGTCGTCGTCGTCGTTATACTATCCTGTTCCAGAATCGCGTTCAAAGACACCTCATTATATAAGTTATAACTTAACTGAAATACTGCCGTCCAATGATTTTTGAAAATCAATTGATTTTGTCACATCTACATCTAGTAAATGGTCTATGAATTTATAAAAACTTCCGTTTTTCGAAAGGTATTTACCCAATTGCCCATGGAACGATTCTATTAAGCTTGTAGTTTTAATGGATTCGTTATAAACGGAGAATTTTGATGCGCCTTCCTAAAAAGAAAGAAGTCATATATGTACATACATATGTTATTTCTTAAAACGGGAGTGTTAAATATTTTATGGAATATACCTTTTTAATCCACTGTCTCTCGAAATATGCTATGAATTGTTCAAAAATGCTATTTAAATTATAACTCAAAGCCTGATTTTTCAGATTTTGATATCCAATTAATATATCGTCCGGTTTTAACAGCGGTAATATTAGAAATTTGCGAAACAATTTTTTCGCATCATTATCTTTATTTAATTTTGACATGAAGTTAGGAAGTTTTGAAGCATTCCTTCGAACAGCTTGTGTAAAATGAAACCAACATGTCTTTAATTTTGTTTGTGGATAAATCTGTGACAATGCTTTTCTTAAGCCATACTCAAAATCCGTGGTGAATGTTGTGGGCTTCATGTCAAAAATATTACTTTGGATGTATTGTAGTACATGGATATATGCATTCAAAGATTTGTTTGACATTAAAATGTAGATAAAAGGAAATGTCTGAAAAAAAGATATACAAATATTAATTTAACCGCAACAATATTTAAAAAAAATATACTTACATGTTCATTATGAGCAATATGAAATATTAGCAGCTGTTTAAAGCTATTGGAACTACTTATCGGTACTACACCAAAAGTCCCATCTATTAAATAATGACGTGGTTCGCCAGTAGACATATCCATTATTATTGAGTTACACATTGTAGGGGACACAAAAATTGAGTAACCGAAATCCTCTTCAATCACCGTACCACGATAGAATGGCAAATCATTGTCATATTTTGAATTTGTATAATTCTTGCGAATTTCTGGGTTTTCAAAAATTGAAATTATGTCATGGAAATTTTGAGGTGCTTTTGGCAAGGCTTCCGATTTTATGTTTATTAATTGCCTTCGCATTTTCCCAAATTCAACCAAATGAGCAGACTCTTTAGCCTTTTTGCAATTCTCATCATACACTTGACGAACACTTGATCTTTTCAATGACATTCTATTAGCGCATTCGAATTTAATAGAATTAATTAAACTTAATTTCTTTATAAATTCATTTTGGGCCTCATGGTTGTGCACTAAGTTTTTATTTGTTTTACGGCAATGTATTGCATTGTTCAAATCCACGGCAATATTGACGGGACATCCATTTTGATAACAATTATAATATTTTGTATTATTTTGAGAATATTTAAATTTATAAATTTGTCCCTCTGTTGGAATATGTAATAATTTGCTGGTTTTCCTCAAACCCGGAATTATATTATAAACAAGTATATCATCACTTTCCATTTTCACGATTTTGGAGAATTAATTGAACAACACACGTGGTTTAACAACCCTGCCAACCAGCGCTAGCCAAGGTGAAAACAAAATCACAAACTAGTGCTGTGCAAATCCAAAAATTACTGTGGGTAAAAGGAGGCATCGAAATACCAACGCATAGTTCGATAAACTCGATAGTTCTATAATTTCCAACTCTAGTTAGCAGCTTTCAACATGGGTAGAAAAGGCTCCCCGCTGAACAAAATTATCCAGCATTCTTACCAGAACGCTATCCAGCGATTCCGTAAGAAATTATCCGAAGATGGTTAGCAGGGAAATGACTGAACACGACATTATAACACAGTTTAGTAAACGAAATGCTGTTATCAACAACAAGAAAAACAAAAAATTTAACAGTGTAACAAGAGTATCAAAAACGACAAAAAACAAAAAAAATTAAAACTACTCAGGGAATAAAGATGACGATGTTATTGTATTACAATAACAAGGAAGAAATAATTATATGTTGTTTAGTTTTTAAGAAAAATGTGTTCTATTTAATGTAAAATAGTACAATTTTGATCACAATAAATCATAAATATAAAAAATTATGCACGTGTGTTCTTCAATTATTTACTTAAAATCGTGAAAATGGTCCGGTGGATGGCCGTGGGCGCGGGCGGCGGCGCGGATGTGCGCGGACGCACGAACCGGCGGACGCGGATGGGAGCGGGGGCGGACGCACAGCCGAAAATCAAATCTTCGTGATAACCCCAATCATATCGGTAGTTGGTTGTCACTTATGTTTAATAAAAAAAAAAATAAGGCTTTATTGCACAATTGGGTAAATTTTCATAAAGGCTTTATTTCACTTTCGAAGTGTAATAAAGCCTTTTTTGAAATAAAGGCCTTATTTCACTTTCAATAGTGTAATAAGGCCTTAAAGGGCTTATTTCGCAAGGCGCTATTGCACCCCGCCAGCCAATATACTACAAGAGTGTGGTGTGATAGTATTTTTTCTTAAATTTCCATCTTTTATTTGCAGTTACATTAAGAAGCTCATGGACAGAGCGGTTGGTGAGGAAGGTGTCGAGTTACTGCAGTACTGCAACTGTGAAAATCCGCATTTCGCACGTGCCCCACTCGTATGGAATAGTAGCTTATGTCAAAAGGCTGGTTTTAGTATAATGCGGCATTCGCAGCATACCCTCACTGGCGCCGAGCCGTTGAAGAAATTTTGGATAAATAAACGTGCAAGAAATAGTTCCGATACTAGCACGTCCATATTCTTGTTAAGGGTCATCAAAAAATTCCTTGTGTTGTAAATAATAAAGGGAATGTCGGATTATACTAAAGCCAGCTTCCCGACATAAACTACTATTCCATACGAACACAGAAATATAAATGTATCTAAAACTGAATAACTCAAATCAAATTGGATTGCATTTGCATAATATACCTAATATTGGAATCTGTTTTGATCGTAAAAAATACAAACTTGCAATCGTTTAGATTATAGTTTTGAAAGAAATTGATTGCAATCGTAAATTGTGTAAAAATTGTTAATAACAATCTGCCTTAAATTTATTTTCCCCATGTAACGGTTATAAAATACGTTAAATCCGCACTATCTACATTAACAAAAAATATACATTGGAATATTTAAAATAAAACGATTCATATTTATTTTCTAATAAGAATTGTTTCTTAATTGAAAGTATTTAATACTAATATAATGTAGTGGTTAATGTTTTAAAATGAATTCGCAATATGTCCGCAGCTCAGGTTGATTTGAAGAAATCCGTTTAAATTTTTCGAATTACATCTACTTGAATACAGGATAGGCAGGGTTGCATACAAATGGTAGTTCCGTAAATATTTAAAATATGTTAGTTCATTCAATATTTGCATCTGGGCCAATAAATAATAACAAATATAGCCGAAAAAAGCAAAGTTTCGATTAAAACGAGTTTTTATAACCCCCCATAATTCCGATTAATTTTAAATACGCAAATAACGATATTTTTCCATGGAGGGGTATTTTTTTAATATACCTTGTTTATACCTACACAAAAACCGGATTATCGAAAAAACGATTGGACTCAACATATATTTCTTTACAGCATTTATCCCCCTGTCTTTATAGCGCACTCGATAAAGTCTTATTCAAAAGTAAACAAAATTGGCTATTTTTAAACGACATTTTTTTAATAAATAATTTGCGCGGTTGACCGAAGCGGAAACAAACAATAATTGTAATTTACTATAACAATAATTCGAATTTAAAACGGGCTGTATAAAGAAAACTAGCCTATTGTCACTTCACTTTCCAATGGTGCTGATTGCTGCAAGAATTATTTAGCGATTTAGAGCATAATCAACACAATATATGCACATAAATATGTATTATTTCACAGATCTCAGGGTCAGCTTAGAAATACGTTACCAAAATTATATAAAATTTAAGTAGGAATTATTTTTATTTATAACGTAAAAGCGCTATCTGACCCAATCTGATAAGTATATTTCCCCTAAAGTTAACCCATTTTATTTAATTTGTCTCTCGTGAAAATATATATTTTATTTAAAATTTTCAGATATGTACATATATTTTAAATTTTTGCTTTAATTTTTGTCTCCTTTTAATATTTAATTAGATACCTTAAGATTAAAATAAGCTTAAAACGAAACAGCACAGCAACCCTTTTCTGTTCATCTTGAGAACACAAAACCCTCTTTTGTTAAAATTCGGCGCTGCACAAAATCCTGGCTTTTATATTTTCCAACAAAATACCACTTCGCAACCCTGGATTTTCACGAAGCGTTTCATTCGGGTCGTAGTTTTGCTACTTCGGGCCATTTGGTGTTGTATGCCATATTGGCTGCCATATTGTTCACACTGTCATCGCCATATTGAACACCCTGTCAACTATCTGTCAACCCTAAGATATCTCACTTGCAACCTTCGAAACAGCTGATTACTTGCACAGTTGCCACTGGTGATTAATTTGGCAATTTATTTTCTGTTTGGTACATTTTCCCCCGATTTGGCATTTTATACAATTGAATAGTTTTCGATAAGAAAAACCTTTTCAAAATACGAATTAATTTTATCGAAATGAATAAGTTATTTTTCGCATAATTATTTGTGATATCACATGGTGACGCATTCAAAAACAAGAGTATCTCCTCCAAACACCCATCATGGATCCAAAAATAATGTAATAGGTATAGGTACAGATGTAGCTTTAAAATTATAAAATTTTCACTTCAACAATCAACCTACCAAAACCGAAAACTTCAGCAAAACAACATTTCAGCATGCTGCTTTTAAATCTATTTTGGTATATTTAAAGGTAAATTATGGTACAAATGAAAAATGTCATACGGCAACCATAGTCAGCACACACTAAAGTAAACGAACTGGAGATTAATAGCAAATTAGCGAAAAATAAACACAACAAACGTTGTGCATATTCAATTTACTCACTTTTTCGTTGTATTCTAGCATTAATAATAAAATTTGCAATAAATAACTCAAAAAGGCCATATTTTCTTTTGTTTATTTACAAACATGTGCTTGATCAGCTGATTCTCTTACTTGCAAGTTTTAGCTGGGAAAATTTTTTCCAGCAGAAATTTGCAGCTCTCTTTCACATTTTGCTCTCTCAATTTCCCCTACTTTCCAAGTTTTTTGGGTACGAGAACGCAAAACCAGTAAAAGTTTTCTAAAACTTTAGATAGTTGGGCGTACGAGTACACTCCTAATATCTGGAATGAATGCATTAATATTACCACAGAATAAACAGTATACAGAAGACACACCACATACAAATTTATTTTTCTTCGGCGGACGTAATATTACAACCCGGACCAGAGCAGAGAAGTTAACATCACGACCACAATGAATAACATAGCGACCCGGAATAGAGCTGAGGAGTTAACATCACGTCCACTATGAACGATGAAGTTAACACACATCGTGATCAGCGTTGCCACGAGCTTGAAAAAAGTGTATCAGTTGCCAAGCAGAAAAAGTATCAAAAGCAATCAAAACTGTTGTTTGTTAAACTGTTATTTAAAAAACAAATAATAAATAAAATTTTATATTTAAATCCATAGTTATAAAAAAATGTATATTTCTTGCTTCTGTCTGCTTATTTGCATAATGAAAAACAAACTTATAGGGCCCCTAAACCAGACAAAATCTTGCGCAATCCTAGACTTGTACAAGTCAATAATATGGAAATTACTACAGCATAAAATTGCGCAAACCTTATTTTGAAGAAACGTTGCTCAAGTAAATATGTGCAAGAAATATGA